GTGCTAATAGTTCTTTGATAGTCTATACTATTATATTGGGCAGGCGCACTCAGTTGCCTTCCTTCTTATTCCATTCTTTTGTCAGGAAAAATTTGAGCGAAGTTCCTCATTGGCCCAGCATGGGATTATGCATGATGTTTACTTGAACTTTAGTTGCTGCACAATAAAAGTTGCTTCATCGCTGCTCGTTTAGGTATGTTGTTAATGTAACTATTCTATTCTATCAACTCGGAATGTGCAGCGTGGCTATTCTCTTCATATCGGACAATATGGTATGATTTTGTTGTTAAGAGAGTCATTACGAAATCACTTTCGTTAAAGCTGAACTGTCAAGAAGGTGGAATTTCGGATTGTGCTGTCCTCTACTAAGTATTACTTATTGTGATCGAGTTCTGCTAAATCATTAATAAAATTGGGAGGGAGAAGGGTTTGGGATAAAGTGGATTCCCATGAAGGTCATAGTTTCGCTTATAAACTCGAATAATCTTTATTTTATTCGGAGTTCTGTGGAGGAAGAACGCAGTCAAAGTTGTTACTTCAGGTACACTTGTTAGGTGATCGCGTTGGAGGCGATCGTCATACGCAGATGATCGTGATGGCATCGATAACACTTGTATTCATTATGGTTACCAATATGTTCACGGAAATGCGGGTTGTATCGGCATTTGCTCTGGTCTCATCTGTATTTTTCATAATCGGAGCGACAGTGATCATGCAATATACCGTCAGGTGAGCGTTCGAATGTGAAACAGAAATAGTTTCGGGACTTCTTGAGAATGAGGGTTTTCTCATTCCAAACTATTCGACTTTTCAATTTTTTCTCTGTAATCTCGGCATGTTTGCTCAAAACTGTTCCGCTGTTTCTAATGACTGTTCAGTCCAGGGTGTAAATTAATAACTACTATTTGTCAGGGTTCTACGTTAAGATTTGAAACTGTTGTGTGCGCTCAAACCTGTAATAATATGGATTTCTATTAGACCATGTGGTTTAGGCAGCCAAATCAGTGGCGAGAACTTCCAGGATATACGAATTTCACGGGTACGATTATGATGATTGGTATGAGTATGTACTCGTTCGAAGGACAAACTATGGCAAGGTTTTCGCCCCCGATAAGGGTTTTTTATTTGATGTTGGATATAATTAATGTGTTTCTCTCACTTTACCCTTTTATTTGTTTCAAAATGAGATTTTATTGCTTGGGTCCCATTTTTTTCCATTCCGTTTCCTTTTAAACTTTTATTTGGCCACATGTTTTTCGATTCAATCATATTTTGGTGGATGTGATAACAACTCAATTCTTTTTCTCCGTTTCAGATTCTTCCAGTGGAAAATAAGCTGGAAACTCCTGAAGCATTTCTTGCTCCAAATGGTGTCTTACCTACAACCATGATCATATGTACATGCTTTATGACGGCTCTGGGATTCTATGGCTATACAGGTTTCGGTGACAAAATTGCACCGGCCATTACTACGAATGTCCCCAAAGAAGGGTATGTGGGATGGATACAATCAAATATAATTACCTGCTTTTATCCATTTGGTTGCTCTTTTTCTAAATCGCTCACTATCGCTGTAATTTGTAATGAGAATTTAATATGCGAATTCGTGTTTTGGCGTTATGTTATGCAGAACTATGTAGATGTTGGGTAGACATGGATCAAACTCGTCTCAGAGTTTTCAGAGTGTTGGATAAGTCCGGTACGTAGAAATTGTAGGATGGGGCTATCAATGTGACAGTACTACTGATACTGACCTTGTAATTAGACTAGTGCATGAGTATGATGATATGAATTTTCCATGTTATTCTTATGTCTTACAGTTGGATTAGGAAAGGAAGATGATGCCTCTGAGCACCCTATTTCCCCACTTTATTGGGAAGTGGCGAAAAGCTTTGAGTTTTTACGAAATTCTTCGATTTTAAGCTAACAAAACAACGTTGTACCAATGGATGAACAATGTACCGTTGTGCTTCAGACTATATTCAACTGTCAATGTGTTCCTTATGCTGCAGTCAATGCTAGGACATTCAATTGCTATGTATGTTGTCTTCGACATGTTTTTCAATGGATTCCGGCGAAAATTCAGCGCTCGATTTCCACATTGTCCCAAATCTGTTGTGGATAAAGTGAGTAGGTTGAGCTTATTGGATTTATTTAGATTCACGGCGCCATTTCAATTCATTCCTCTATTCTGACTTTTTTGTCTTTGTTGAATAATGCATTGTGATGCTTCCGGTTGTCACAAAATTAATATTTGTTGCCATCGAGTAGAAACATTTCGGCAGCATTTGCTCAAGCCGATGATTATTTCCTATTTGAAGAGGTTGCTAATATACACGCAAACTAAATGTTACACTAATAACACTACCGTGTGTCAAACCTGAAAGTGTCGAGAAGATCTGGGTTTTTCTTTTATTGTACCAAAGCCTCGCAATAGTTATTTTTTTTCTCAGGGATTTCGAATGTTCTGGGTTATGTTGACTTTTCTGATGGCCGTATTGATTCCTAAACTGGAGATCATGATCCCATTGGTAGGAGTTACTAGTGGCACACTCTGTGCCCTTGTCTATCCACCGATCTTCGAAATGATTACGTTTTGGACAGATTGGAAGGTGAACATTACGTCTTTCTTTTTCATTTGAATGTGACTTGTTCATTTTCTAGAACATATGCGGCTGCCAGTGCTTCAAAAAGAACTGGACATCCATATAACTATCCTATTTATGTTCTCTAAGTCAAGGGCTATTTTTTTCCAGGGTCTGCTTACTTATCGAGAACGCATGAGCAAAATAGCACTGAATTGCTTTGTGATTTGTGTTGGTTTCTTTGCTATTGGGGCTGGTTTATACGCAAATGGCTTGGCCATTTACGAGTCATTTACGGACCCAAATTTCTAAACTTGGGGTTTGTTCGTTTTCTTGTTACTTTCTTCTCTTCTGTGTAAAAAATATTTTTCACAGAGGGCCTTCTTGCAGATTTTCTTTTTGGAGAAGAATCGATCGATAAATCTTAGCACCCGAATGGCGGTTGTTTCCGAGTTCAGCTATCCGTTGTTTTTTCTCTCAAACTCGCATTTGAGTATATTTATTGGGAGCTCTTCATGTCTCTAGATTTGAGAAATCATGGAACAGTTGAGATGTAAGGCTTTTCATACTGATGTCTCTAAATGAACGTTTTTTTCTGGTGAGGTCTCAACCCTTGATGTTTTGTCTAGACTACTTCCAAAATGAGCACCCCAACACGGATGAACAGTCTCGTTTTTGGCTGATAACTCATTTAGTGACTTCACAGTGGATGTTGAACAAGATCTTGTTCACGTTTTCTCCACTCTTCTTCTTGATGTAGTTTCACGGTTATCTTTTGAGGTTTTCTTTTCGTGTGAGAAGCCCTACCATTAGTTGTTCTATGTACCTCAATCCATGGGCTCGTACAAGCCAAATTCGTGAGCTTTTACATGAAAAGTTTGTGGTCGCAATTTCAAGTCGAGGTTCTGATATGTGAAGCTTGAGTTTGACATGCCATTATACATAGTTATGCATATGTAATTATTAGTACAAAATGCCCATTTGTTTCAAAAGTTTTTCTTCTCGATGGTTTCCATCTCTGAGGTCTTTTTGTGATAATTTACTACAAAGTTGTTTGTTATCAAAAGCTTGTTGACGTAATAATTTATTGTATTCAGTCTTTAGGCTCGGTCGTTGCACGTCCATTTTTAGTTGCTTAATTATTTCTCTTAGTGGTTCAAAGCATTACTGGGATATCTGTGATTTTTGCAAGTTGGTAATGATGACGAGTGTCGCTGAATGATGTGGCTTTTCATCCATTTTTTCTTGAATCAATATGGAATGTTACATATTGAGTTTTGGAATTCTGCATTTTTCCATTTTGTCTTTAGCAGGTCTGACTTTTCAACAGGTTCATATGGTAACAACACTTTTTTCTCTATCCTTTTACACCTTTTACATCATACGTTACCACTTTACATTGACGTTGTATTTATCGAGCTTTTAATAAAAATCCAACACATTACCATGCCATGTTATGCAGCAGGAGACATCGATCTGTTCGACTAAAACAGTTTCTCTTAGCTGTTGCATAGGAGCTCTAGCCTTCCTAAGCCATCCAGGAGGCTAACCATAAGGGGTGTGTAACCACAGGGTTTATTTAACTGGAATGTCATGTCACGTCGTTTTGTTTAACCACCCTTATAGTTACTTTCTACAGTTGAGGGTGAGAGCATATCGAAGTTCTGTATCAAAAGTTCTCACTTCTACTCCATGTTTGTGGATTAACGTAAAACTTCGTTCACCCGAGTGTGGACTTCCAAGAATCTTTATAGGGCTAGGATTTCGGCCCAACATCTGCTGACCGATAGGAGATCAGATTGATTCCTGGTTGCGTTCTGTGTGGGTTGAGTGCTACAGTTGGATCATCGGTCGAAGTCGACTTCTTCGGTGGGAGCACCGGTCAGATATGCATATAGTGAAGGTGAGAAGGAGTCCTAACAATTCTGATTGGGAGAGGCAACTCTTACAAAAGTTTGGCTTCGACAATCTCTACTGTTTACATTTCCCAAACGCAACTAGATTTTTTGTCTCATTTCAAAGCTTTCTGTTTGGATTATGGGCTGAACCATGTATCTGTTCCTTACCGATTAAGTCAACGTGACGACAGTGAGGGGCGCTCATCGATTGACGGTTGTTCAGCCACTCGTAAACCTATGTAAAAGTGTTTTCATATCTGGGGAGCGCTGAATGTAGATCTGGCTCTAAGAAAATCAATACAGCATTGACAATGGAAAAAACTTGTAATTCTTAAAAACTGACGACGAAAGTTGTATGGGAGGGTTATTCGGACGAGCTGTCTAGATGTAAGTGCCATTGCGTACTGCTGACTACAGCAAGCTGCCTGTGGGTAATATGTGCGTCTCAGGGCATGTGGTACAATTTCTACAGCATATACATCGCCGCAACAATTCGTCCGCTTTTGGTGAGGCGCCCCGAAAGCGGACGAATTCCACGGCGATGTTCATGCTGTATAGGTTACATCTCTTGTGCTGATCTAGAGGATCACAGGTTCATCTAGGGAGAGCCCAGAAACCATAAATTATGCCTTTACGGGCAAGGTATATCGGACAGTGAGGTCTTGGATGCTCTAGTGCATTTACTGCTGCCCGGTATGCGAACATTACAAAAAACAACTTCGCTCTGCTGGAAAGAGGACGCTAAGTTGAAAAAGCTGCTCGACAGGGTTAGGACTGAGTACGTCGAGACGACCGTGCAGGGGTCCTGATCCAGTCAGAACTCTGGAAAAGGGTCTGCGATGATTAGCCTCGAAATCACTCTATAACACAACTTCGAAGAAAATGGTGAGCGGCGTCAACAAGAAGGACTCCGCTGAAGTAGTACTGAAGAGGGTGGTACCTCGGATACATGGATACAATGTAAACTTTAAGGAGGATTGTATACATGAACATGTTGTACGTGTGAGTGCTGATAAGCTATGGCATGTAAGCCATTGAAAGGCGAGGGCAAACGGGGTCTCGGTAGTGTAAGGAATTGAGCACGATGCCCGGAAAATACAGAACGGGTTCGAGTCCCGTCCGAGAATGAAGTTTTGTCCATAAATTGCCAACCTCATGAGTCTTTTGCAACGCGTACTGCGGCGATATAACAGCAGTTAACAAAACATCAAGGATTGGTGATAAGGGCGCCGCAACTGTGCATAAATAATGTGAGGGAGAAGTAGAAGATTAAATTATCAGCCTTGCCTTCCCTTGAATGTATATACCAAGGATTGAAACCATTCTTTTATGTCATTGGACTAATGCCAGCTGTATTGGTCGTCAAAGATGTCATTGGCAGACGCCGGTTCGACTAAATACGAGAGAGTTTGTAACAACCGTTGGAGTTGAGTTGAAGGGGGCATGTCTTGAATAACAACCTCAGGAACCTAGAGCCTGACCGTTTAGCTAAACACAGTTACTCCATCTTACCCATAACTTTAAAATCGTTACTCATTCGGAAAGCGGCAGATCGAGGAAGTAAAACTGCGAGTGTTATGTAGAAAAAACTCAGAAAAGAAGAAGCATATGGATCTCTCTCATTAACGATCCAGGAGCAGTCTGCTGCAATAGTGTCAACTAGGGTGCTGTCGAAAGATGTCATCAGCAAACTGACTGCTTTTTCCCACCCATTCTCAGACGATTGTGGTCACGTACTTTGGTACGGCTTCGGAGTCTGTTGCTTTACATGAATTTATTCCTAACGTTCCCACACAGAACTCATCGGCAGCTATCATACATGGAGTCAGCCCATCCATACCTTCCTGAGCTGCTCGCATTTTTTCGCTTCCTTTCACTTGAGAAGGAGCTGTAGCTCGTATGATTCAAGTGCTGAATTCGAATAAAGAGGCAAAAAAAAACAGTTTTCCTGCCAAGATGGGGTAATATCCTCATTTGGTGTGGATAAGGTTTTGATAGGTTTTCTGCTCCCCCTCAAATTTTTCTATTTTTCCGAAAATTGATGGTCAAAAGATGGATATTGGTCATAGTTGTCCACAGTGGCCGGATAAGCAGGTCGTCGATCGCCAGCCATTGACCTATAACGAAGACGGCTTTGAAGCAAAGAAGGCGTCGATGTCGCTCTTCTAAGCCCGCCCATTGTCGAAGTTTCTTCAACGATACCCTACTACTACTTGCGCCGCAACCGGTCGTCTTTCCGTGAGCTAAAGAT